AAGGAGAGCAGAGGGGAGGAGGTGGCTGTAGAGGTCCAGGTGAGGGGTGACAGGCCTCAGGCTCCAGGTAGAGGGAGGTGGACGCACGTGCAATGTGCTCGGGAGAAGAAGCAAGAGAGAAAGGAATCAGGAAAAGGATAGAAAATTCACTTCCCTGCTCGCACCCTGGTGCTACGGGGATGCAGGGCACCCGAGAGATGCACAGTGACAGCTCCGTCCCACGTCAGGGGGTGCCAGGGGCCCGGCCGTCCCGGGGACACGGGGACGGGTGCGCTGCGGCTCTGCCGCTGACATTCACCAGTCTGCCCGCGCCAGCCGAGGTTACCTGACCTCCCTTCCTCCTTCTGTCAGCCACTTCTAAAAACCAGCCAACGACAAGTCGACACCATGCAAGGTCGTGAGTGAGCACTCTGTGACTGGTGACACTTGTCCCTGCTCCCACACCGCCAGAGCTCCCCCTCTTCGTACAGCAGACAGGAAACAAACGGGCGAAGTCACACTCAGAGCGAAAGAGCCGCTGGGGTCCTGGGGGGCCCTTCCCGGCCTGCTGCCGGACACACCTCTTCCTCCAGCAAGTCCCAGGCCGGTCAGCGACCCCTTTCCCTTCTGAGCTGCTCCCCTGTTCTACAGAAGTCTCTGAAGCGGCAAAGTCCCTGTCCCCCAGCCCCAGATCCGGAGCAGCAGCAGCGGCTCGGAGAACCATACCCACCAGGGTTCTGTCTCCCTCCAAACACAGCTTCGGGGTGCTGGCTCAAGTGAGGGTGTGGGTCTGGACTCAGGCAGCCCCAGGTTCTGGGTCAGGCTCCTCAGTGTTTTGCCCTGGATCCGGAAGGAGCGTGGAGTGTGGCCCAGACGGGCCCAGAGAGCTGCCCTAGGGGCCACCGCTGTTGCCACGGCCCTGCCTATCCATCCACTGGACACCGGGCTCTGGGCTCCGTGGAGGGGGTGCATACACCACTCCAGTGCCCGCAAGGCTCTCAGAGCGCCCGGGGAAGGCGAGCAGGAGCCCCAGAGCAGTGAAAGCCAGGCGCTGACCCCGAAGAGGGGGGCGTGAGTGATGGAGATGCGCCACCTCCCACACAAAGGCTGACGGTGTCCCGGCTGAGGGCACGGAGGGCGAACACACAGGAGCCCAAGGGATGCACGAGCCTGGTGGGGTCGGAGGTCAGCTCCCCGACCGGGGAGGGGGGTGGGGAGGGGGACCAGCCTGACCAGGGGAAGCTGGGAAAGGACGAAGGTGGGTGCGGGCTGGGGCTGGCAAGGGACGTTTGCAGCTTTACTCCTAGGTTTCTGTCCCAGAGGCTGCAGGCAGCTCAGACCCGCTGCCCAGTGCAGAGCCACAGCCTGGCCACACGGCCCGTCTTCTGTCCCCAGGAACTCCTGCCTTCTGTGGACGCAAGGATGACCGAGATGATGATTCAGAAACTGTTCAGGCAAGTCTGGGACACAGTAAATATCAGGCAACGTTAAAAGGGAAACCATGATGTTTGTGACAACAGAACAGTCGATGGGCTTCATGGCCGAGCGTCATTAGAGCTGAAGCAGAGAGAGCTGGGTGTGAGAGCCTGTCTCCCTCTCCGTTCTTCCCCCTCTCTCCCCCTCTCTCCCCGTCTCTCTCCTGCTCCTTGCAGGGAGGGTCCTTGGGCTGGGTGTCAGGATGATTTTACTCGCTTTTACTGCGCTTGAATATCTTCAACTGCCCACAAAGATTCTGTTGGATTCTAGAAACGCACCTTTTACTGGCATCTCACTGCTTTCTTTACAAAACAGCTTTTATCTAACACTGAAGTGTCTAAAAAATAATGGTAAGTGGGGGGGAAGCAAACTGACAGCAGACGAAAAGGCAGGGAAACGTATCCCTGATACAAGCGTCTGATTTGCCTCTAGAGGTGAGCCCCTTCCCGGACCCACCTCGGCAAGTGTGCTTAGCAAACATCTGTGGACCAATTACAGTCAACAGTTTACAGGTGTTGGGAGGAAACAGTCGCTCACATGCCACCCTCCCAAATGAGTAGTCTTAATCTCTCTTGGAAACAAAAGCCCACTTTTCTCTAGGGTTCTTTATCTGGCAGCTTCTCATGCAGGTGGACTGGAGCCCCCGGAGGGAGAAGGGAGGCCAGGCAGGTCAGGGCCGGATGGAGTCCTCCCAGGGCCCCTGTAACAGGGTCTGGCCATCTTCCTCCTGCTGCGTCCCCGGCTCTGCCCCCAGCTGTCCAGATCCCGTAGATCCACGGCCCAAGAAGAAGCATTTTTATGAGGCTCCCAGGACATGTTATTTACCTGTGGGATCGGCCAGTGGTTCTCAAATGCTCGGGTACATGAGCATCGACTCGAGAGGCGGCTACAAGGCCAGGTCCCAGGCCCCATTCCCCAAAGCCCCACGACCTCAGGTCTCAGGTGGGGCCCAGGAGTCTGAGTGTCTCCCGAGCCTCTCTCTGATTCTGAAGCAGATGATCTGAGGATGGAGGCAGAGAGGAAGGGGAGTCGGTTACCATGCAGATGCCTAGATGGTAGATCTGGGGTGTGGCCCGAGGTTCTGCATTTTAAACAGACTCCCGAGGGCTGTTGATGCTGTCGGTCTGGGGTCACGCTTCAAGTGACCTGGCTGCAGGCCACCCTTTAGACTCACTCCACTGCTGTATATCTGAGATCAGTTTTCCCTCCTCCCTTAACGCATTCTCACTGCTTCGTTCACAGCAAGCCTGATAAACCAATGCTCTCTACTGGACTCGCTTCAGCTACTGCAGGGCCTTGGAAGCCTGAACATGTGAGTTCCCATAAGGCAGCAGACGCCGAGTGAAAGGGCCGTGAGGGGTGCGGGGCCTGGGCTGGACGGCAGCATCTCCATGCACCCCCTCGCCCCGCTGGGCAATGGGGGTGTAAACAGAGCGCACTTGTGGAGGGAGGACAACTCCAGGAGTTAATTTACACAAACCTGGTACATCTGCGGCCAACTCCAGGCGGATATTCTCCGGATGCGCATACCCCGTGTGGAAGTGCAGAGTGGAGATGTGCTTTGGCCGTCCAGGCGCTCAGCAGCCGGTCGGAGACAGGGAGGTGTGTCATCCAGTGTTTGGGCCTCAGGACCCCCACCCACCACCACCCTTTCTGTTGTTCAAGTGGCCGTGCCTGTTTGCACTCCAGCGGGTTACAGGGTGCAGGGGAGCAAACGCTGTTCTGGAACTCACCCCGTCAGGAACACTTTGCATTGTGTTCTGGCCTTCTGAAGACAAAGGCAGGTCCCCGCGTGGGCATTTTGGTACGGCCTGTGTGGGCTCTCCAGGCAGTGAGAAAGTCCTCGGGGTAGGAGTGGGGAAGGAGCAGGGGCCTTTCAGAGGTGTGAGCACATGAAAGCAATTCCCCCCAGCCTGGATTTCCGGGGGGGGATTTGTCCCTGAAACCTTGCTGGTGACGCAGGACCTCTGTGCAAGTGTGACTGTGATAAGCCCGGCACATTCAGCCATGAAGACCTGCAGCCTGTAGGCCCCCACCGGGTCAGGAATGTGCCGAGGTGCAGGGTGAGGTGTGGCGGGTCTGGTACAGATGTGCTGTTCTGTTTACTAGCCACGCATGCTTAAGGGGCGAGAAAATGTGCGTCACCTGGGGGTTTGCATCTACACCTAACCCGGCTCCCTGGCTTAGCCCATTCCTCCTGGCTTAGTCGATTCTGTGAGGTCTGAAGCGGGCACTGCGCTAACCAGCAGACCACCCTGCCCAGGTGGGAGGGCCCCGAGGGGGGAGAAAAGGCGGCTCAGCGGCTCTTTGCTCTCCTGCCCCCTTGGCTCTGACCTTGGAGCTCTGCACTTGCACTCAATCCTCTCCCCCCTCCTTTGCAGCGCATTTCTTAAACCAGAACTAATGTATTCTGGACACAGAGCTCCTCCAAACCAAGACAAAGAAATTTCAAATATCTGAGCAAACAAAACCACTTTCCCTAAATCTCCAAGCCAAAAGGAAACGTGCAAGAAACATTTACTCACTTTCCAAGCCGCACGCATTTTTCACTCGATGCTCCCTTAAAGAAGTGTCCCCCCAGTTCAGAGTCACCGGAGCAGAGCAAACGGAGCGGGCCTGGCGGCCGGCGCGGAGGCGCGGACATTCCTGACACAGCTCTTCTGCGGAACATCCCTTCCCTGTCCTTCCCCGGGCCTCTCCCTTCCTTCGCGGCCTCGGAGGCCCAGCAGCGTGTTTCGATGCACACACAGGAATTAGCCGCGTGCCCGGTCGTTAGGGGCGCAGCGCGGCCAGGGCTCTGCGCTGCGCTGGGGGGTCAGCACCGCCCGCTTCGGAACCACAGCCTGGTCGGCGCGGCGCCCTCCCCGCGGCCCGCCTGGTCTCCCAGGGGTGACTCCCGACCGCCCAGCGTGGGTGCAGGGCCTGTCGTGAGGCGGGCCCGGGCCGGGGAGTCGGTGCGAAGGCGCCCTGAACGTGTGGAACAGAAGGGGAGCGCCCTCCCACCGTGGGCCGGGCAGGAAGTTGGCCCAAGCATGGGGGCTCCCCTTCCAGAGGGGGCGCCCAGGGTATGCGGTGGGGGGGCGGGGGAGGTCCCCGCCCTGCACCCCTCCCCCCACCCGGGCTCGGCCGCCCCGCCGAGCGGGAAGGGGGCGCGGACCGGAGGCGCCCGGCGCGGGCGCGGCGCGGGGGGCGCGGCGCCTTTAAGGCCCGCGTCAGGCCGAGCGAGCGCAGGGGCCGGGCTCGGGGCGGGGCCTCGGCGGGGCGGCCGCGCGGCTTCACCTGCAGTTCGGAGCGCGCGGAACAGAGGCGCGGGCGGCTGCGAGGCCGGCGGACGCACCGGCCCGAGGGAGCGCGCCGCCGGCCGACTTGGCCTGGCTCCCGGAGCCGGGCGGCGATCGCGGCGGCGCGGCCGGCCTGGAGGCGCGGGGCCCGATCGGGCGGCGGCGGCGGCGGCGGCCATCGGAGCTGCGCGATCGGGCGGCGGCCGGGAGCGGGCTCCGGGCTCCGGGCTCCGGGCGGGCGCCGGGGCGCGGCGCGGCGGGAAGATGACCGCGGGCTCCGGCGTGCTCCTCGTGCTGCTCTCGCTCTCCGGCGCGCTCCGGGTAAGTTGCCGCCTGGCGTCCCGGCCGCTCGGAAGCCCCGGGCACCGCGGGGCCGCCTCCGGAGCCGGCGGGGCGCGCACTCGCCCGGAGGGGCTCTCCCGGGCGCCCCCGCCGCGCGCACCGCTGCATCCGGAGGCTCCCGCGCTCCGCCAAGCCGCCCGCGGTCGGCAGGAGCCGGGAGCCGCCGGGGCAGCGGCGAGCCGCGGTGCGGAGCGCGGTGCGGCGCGGGTGGGTGGAGGGCCCGGAGAGCTCTGCCCGAAGCGGGACCCGCCGAGCATCCCTCGGCCGCCCCAGGTCCGCGGCCGCCGCTCGGAGCCCGGCTCTCCCGCGCCTGGGCAGGCTGCCCGCTGGCGGAGCCGGCGCGCCCTCCATCGCCCGGGAGCCGCGCGCCTCCGGAGTTGGCGAGCCCCGCTCGGGCCGGGACTGCGGGCGGGGGAGCTGGCGGCAGAGGCAGCGAGCCACGGTGCCGGGGACACCCGGCCTGGCCGCCCCGTGCCCCGGGCCGGGGTCTCGCGGCGCGGCGCCGCCTCCGTGCCGGGCTTCCGGGCGCCGACCGGGACCGCGGCCGCGGGTGGGCGGTGGATGTGGATGGACCGCGGGGCACCCCTGCCGCGGAGTCCCCGAGGCGCGGCTGGAGCCGGTGTCCGGCGGGGCCCTCGCCGCTCGAAGCGGGGCCGGGGAGCCAGGCGGGCGCGGGGTGAGCGTGCCCGGGAGCGCGGTCCGGGCGCCCGCCTCCTTCCCGCCGAGCCCGCGAGCTCGGCCCCCAGAGCGGCTTGCGCGGCGGGTGCAGGCCCCGGGGGCGGCGTGCGGGGCTGCGCCGGGTGGCGCCCCGGGGGAGGCGGCGGGGCCGCGGGAGTTGCAGGAACCCCCTCTCGTGGCCGATCGGCCTCGCTGCTCCTCCGGGCAGCGCGCTTGCAGCCTCGGAGATAAACAAGTGCGGCGCCCCCAGGCGCGCTCGGAGGCTGCGGGGCGCTCCGGCTGCGCTCGGCCCTCGCCCGGGCGGGGCGAAACTTTCCCGGCCGAGTTCCCCTCCGGGGCCCCAGTCCTCTGTGGAGCTCCGTTCGCGAGGAGCGGGGCCGCGGCTTGGAGCTTCCCCAAGGACCGAGCCCGCACCCCTCGCTGTCCCCTTGTGCTTTTCGGGGAGGGCGTCCGCGTCCGGGCGGGCGTCGGGGTGCCGGGCCGGGCGGGCGGGGCTGGAGCGGCCGCCGCGGCGGGAGGCGCGTTCCGCTCGGCGGCCCCTCGAAGGCTGCGGGCTGCGCCCCTGCTGCGGGCGAGCGCCGGCCGGGGAGCGGGGCCGCTGCGCTCCGGCGTCTCTTCGACGGTTCCCTCCCCGCCCCCCAGCCTGGCCGGAGCCCCTAGCCCGCCCCCAGCCCCTCCCTCTGGGCAGGACCGGAGGACACCCACCCTTTCCGTCAGTCAGGGGAGCTGTGTCACCTGTTTGGTGTCGGAGATGGGGCCCCAAGGGCGGACAAGGGTCCAGCCCAGTGGAGGTGGGAGGGCTGGAGGGTGGAGCCGAGGCTTGGGGAGCCTCCCTCCTCGTCCAGCGCTCCGGCGCCTCTGGGAGGACCGCCTGTCTTACTCTGCCACCTCCTGCCTCCCTGGTGACCCACAGAGAGGACGTAAGCTGAGCTCTGGGGCCCGGAGGGGCAGTGGCCGTCAGGGCTGCGGCGGCTGCACCTCCTCCTCTCCGTGGCTTCCTTGCCTGTCTTCAGACACTCTTCAGACCTTCCTTTCTGGGGGACAGAGAGGCCCTCCCAGACCCGCATCCCTGCCATCAGCTTGCCCTCCTCCCGGCCTGCACCCCTGTGCCCAGGCCAGTCCAGCGGAGCCCCCTCATCCGCACTGGGCTCCCGCCTCCCCAGCCTGGGAAGCAGAGGACCCTCCCCGGGACGCGCAGTCAGGTCAGGTGCAGCCTGGCGCCGTGACACACGCGCATCCTTCACATCCTGTCCGTCCCATCGTGCAGGCGTCGCACCCTGTCACGCGGTCACGAGGAGGGCGAGCACAGGACAGGGAGGTGTCTCCCCGGCGAGAGCGCAGTCCCACCCGAGGACCCCAGCACATGGTTCCGAGTGCCGTTTCAGCCTTAGTTGGCGTGCCTCTCCCGCCGCGCCCGCTTTATAAACCACCCTTGGCCACGGGCGTGTGTGTCTGTGTGTCGAGGAAATAGCCTTTTATATGGGGTTGGGTGCTCGGGGGTTTCAGGCTTCCGTGGGGTCTGGACGGAATCCCCCGTGAGGGTGTTGCTGGACCGGGGGAGCCCGTGAGAGCAGGGGAGCAGGGCGCGTTCCCTTTGGGGACAGGCTGTGGCTCACGTGGCCCTGTCGTCGCCAGAGGCAAGACCCTGCCTGCAGCAGCCACTGAGAAACAGCCATTGGATTAAATTTCTGCCAACTTCACATCTGTCCCAACCGCGTCTCTCTCTGTTCTCAGGCCCACAGTGGGGATCTTACAGCCAGGGAGACGTGCAAGGCTGGATTCTCTGAAGAAGACTACACAGCACTTATCTCGGAGAATATTCTGGAAGGAGAGAAGCTTCTCAAAGGTAGGGGGGATGGCGTGGAGGGTGGGAAGAAATTGCACACTGTGTTCTGGATTGGAGAGTCCTTTGCATGGAAAAGGCGGGCTGGGGCGGTCTTTGAGGCAGGCTCTTTGCCAAATGATGGTTGTGAGGTCAGTGAGGTGCGGCTCCCTGGACCTCAAAGCATTTTGCGTCCCAGGTGAATGATTCAGAATGCCTGTCATTTTTGAGTGAGGTGAATCATTTCCTGGGCAACAAATTGGAATTCGGATGTAACGTCACCCAAATAATGTACAGGGAGAGACTTTCTTGCTAAGTATTTTTATGTATGAAATTCTGGATTCTTAAATTATCCCTGCTTTGAAATGCATGATAAAGCAGACGATGTTGTTGGAAATGCGGTAAATAAACCCACAGACGTTCTGTTCACAAACGTGGTATTCATTTTCATTACTACCCCACTGATAACACGAAAACACATATGCAGGAGGGAACTACCAATTAGCTTTATCGTAATTGTAGGATTATATCCACATTGGCGACGGGAACGTCAGAGGCAGCTTCAAAAGTCAAGAGACAGTAGATCATTCTGCATGTTGATCTGTTTCTCTTTCGAGACAAACTAATTAAACTTTCCCTTTGTGCGGGAGGGGAAATCAATCAGTCCTTCTTGCGAGGTTTCCAAATCCTGCTGCGGACACCGTGGCTGAGCGCCTTCCCAGAAGCAGCAGCTCTTTGCTGATTTGGGAGTGACGGAGGAGCAAACTTTGGATAAAGCTTCGGAGCTGAATTTCAGCTCTCACGACAAAATAATCCTCACTGCTGACTTCCTCCCAGATTCGGATTTCAGAGAATCTCGGATTCTCCCTCAAGAGCTGACAGCAGCTCCTTTGGGTGGGGGAGGTGATTTCTCAGATCCTGGTCCTTGGAGACAGAGCTTGGTCACTTACCTGCTTTGTTCTTGGTTATGTGGACCAGGATTTTTTATTTGCTACTGAGTCCAACTCCCCTGACCCGGTTGTTGTCATCTGCGTTGACGGCTAAGGGCATGATCTGTGGGGTCTTTCTTGGATTTCCTGCCCTTGCCCCAAAAAAGAAAATCTGCAGCAGTCGGCCAGGAGCAGATTGAGTGTGTTGCCTGAGTAGGCATATGTGGTGGGAGCCTTAGGAGATGCTCTGTGAATCGCACTGTGCATGTGATTTCAGAGTTCGCCAGGGCAGACTCTCTTTCAGGATGGATTGGTCTTCACAGCATCCCTGTGTGCCCTCAGGGAAGGCCTGGAACATTCTTTTTTTCTGAGTACGTTGTACTGTTGCACATAACGGGCACTGTGGTGCCCCTGGGTGCTGATCTGGAGGCTGGGCTCCGAGCTGCTCTTGATACGATCTTGGAGTTTCGCTTGTACCCAGGAGTTTCAGAAAGAGGGCCTCTGTTTGAGTAATGGGTACTACCTACCGTGGAAGAGAACGGCAGAGTCTCAGACCTTTTATGATGAAATGTGGGATTTCTGACAGGCGTCCAGGCTCCCTCCTGGTGGCGAGCTGGCCCCTCTGCTCTTGGCCAGCGCTGTGGGGAAGCCGTGCTCTCTGGCTGGACGCCGGCCTGTCATGAGCCCAGGTGGTTTTCACCCAGTGGGGGGTGAAGAGCCCATCGCGGTAGGTGAACTTGGACCAGGAGACGGGCTTCACGGGTGCGGGACCCATTTCCTGGGCCCTTACTTGTACCTGAGATGTGGCCCAGCTCAACGCAGGTTGACGGGCACTATGTCCCAGTGGCTGGGGCCCACGGCCTCGCCTGGCCCTGCGTGCACCCCCCTTCACCACACTGTTCCCAGGGACAGAGAGATGTTTTCTATCCTAGAAATAATTTTTGCAGATACGGAGGCAAAAGCCAACGCTGACATACATTCAAACCAGGACAGATAAAAATTTCTCTTTCTGTGTACAAACTTCGCAAATGACAAGGCTGCAGTGAAGACGTATGCATCCAAAATAAGATGGAGGCACCAGCAGTTCTGTTATTCTGGTAGGAATCAAGTTAAACTGATAATGACTACTTATAATTGAGTTATTCCAACGGAGAGAGCTTAACCTTCATGTGACGAGCAAAGCCTCGCGGAGCCCCCGTTTTATTATGAGTGCGCCGAAAGCCATTAACGACTGCTCGGTGGCTCCTTCCCTGTGCCTGAGTCAGCTTACCAGCAGCCCCAAACCTCCAGATTCCAGAAGGAACGATTTGTTACATGGTAATTAACTTATTTATGATAAATGGATGGAAGAAATGTCGTGGCATTTTGTTTTATGTCTAAATGAAAAGCATTTCCATTCTAAAAATTTCATGCTAATTAGGCTTAAAATAGTTTTCCCCAGTAGGGTAGCAAATACTATGGTATTGTGAACCTTCGGATCAGCGGAGCTGCAGAGCGTGGCAGTTGGGGGCGTCTGCCCCGCTGGCTTGTATGTTGCTAGATGGCCTCCGAGTTCTGTTTCCTGCGTGTGCTTCTCCAGCAGCACGTGGATGTGGTCACACGGACTCTTGACCATGGCTTTGTTTTCAGGGTAGTTCACCAAGGCCGTGATCACCGGCGCATGGCAATATCTATAATAGCACGGTTAAGCTGTTTCTCCCTGGGCCCGGATGGAACGTTCTGGGTGCCATGGTTGGCTGAGTGTGGGCCGGTTGCTGAGCCGGTGTCTTTTTCTCAGCTTTGTTAATAATTAACGGTCCGGCTGCAGCTGATGCGGTGACCTGCATTGCTCTCTTGTGGCGGGCAGAGTTCTGGAAAACCCAGAGCGCCTTCACGGTGAGACTGCCCCAGGACGGGCGGTGACCGGCTGTGCGGTGGGGACCCACCTCCTCCTCCCCTGAGGGCTGGAGCAGAGGCGGCGTGTGAGTAGAAACGTGTGGATGGGGGCTGGACCTTACCCAGGGAGCGTGGGCTCAAGTAACACGGGAAAGAGGGGTCTGCTTCTGCTGATGAGCCTTTGTGTTTCCATCCCACGTGGGTGCGGGGCCGTCGTGCACCCCGGGCCACGCTCTGCTCCCTCATCGGAGGACTGTTCTCAGTCACCTCCCTTACCTAAACCCGAAAGTTCGTGAGGGCAGCAGCCTGTCACTCTGGTTTACTATTTATATCATTTCAGAACATTCTCAGCCAACAGGATAAAAGCTGACGTCCAGAATCTTAAATGAATGGGGGTTCATTCTTCTCACGCAAGGGTGAGGCGAGAGCCGGTCGCGGGCTGGGACGGCGGCTTGTCGGTGGCAGGCGCCATCACGTGCCTGGTTTTGCCTTACCGTCTCCACTTTGTCGGTTCAGGTTATCACCTCATGGTTGTAAACTGGCTGCTGTGGCTCCAGGCATTGCATTTGAGTTTGGAGAAGGAGGAAGGGGCAGCACCATCCGCACCCCTTCCCCATTCCAGGAGAGCAGGCACTTTGTCAGGAGGCTCGTGGCTCCCGTTGGCTGCAGCTAGGTCACACGCCGCGTTCCCGGTGTGTGTCCCACACTCCCAGCTGCCGGGGCGGGGAGGCCGGAGCGAGTAGGCTTCTGTTTCAGGGAGGAGGCGGGGAGGAGGGGCGGACGCAGAGGGACCAGCCTCGGCGTCTGCGTCCAGCGCCCTACCTGGCCGTGCCAGGGGACGAATGACCCGGGCGCATGCCACGCGCAGAGACGGAGGGTCGGGCCCAGGCCGTCCAAACGCAGGTGTTTGGAGTCGGCATATAAGCATTTGCCACAGTGTAATCGGCGCGGCCACAGCACCAAGGCCATTGAAGATCGCCTCCCCGCCACCTCTGTGTGGACAGGTGGCTCCTGCCGGGGCAGAAGGCGTCCCCAGGTGCAGGGCGGGAGGTGAGCAAGTCCTCTGCCCGCCCAGCCCCTGGCATCGTGCCCCGCGTGCCGTGTGGGCCGACTCTCAGGTGAAGGAGCCCGAGGGCGGGGCCCTGGTGACCCGCAGGGGAGCGGGAGCGGCGACACACCAGCCACGTGCACTTGGAAGCCGCGGACGCTGCAGGCTGGCTGGCAGGCACCCTCCCGGCCCTCTTCCTCACTGACGCCCTTCTGTGCCCACCCACCTGGCACACGCCGGGTCCCGTGCAAGATGCTCACACAGCGGGTGGCCTCCCGCACTCCAGGCTGGCAGTTCTAGTCAGTGGGGCCCGGTCAGGTTACTGTTAGATGATGATGCTTCTGCAAAAGGCTGTTTTGTGTCGTTCGGTTTCCTTCCTGATAAAGAGGAACAGATTCAGCGGGTCATGCCTTCTGCTTTTTGCTTTTTTACCTCTTTCTCCTGCCTGGAAGACAGATGCGATGTCTGGGTCAGAGCAACCATCTTGTGACTGTGAGGGACAGCAGAGCAGGAACTGGAGCCTAGGTGGTGTCCTCGAAGGACACGCAGGTAGCTTGTGGGCTCATCGTCCCCTGAGGGGCGAGAACAATGCGGCCAGCATGCCACGGTTGGGTTTCTTGTCGTGCGTAGCCCGATGCAACCCCCGACTTGGGGAAACAGCACTGTGCCCACTAGCAAGTGCCTGTCCTTCCCTCTGGAAGCTCGGAACACGTTTCATCCTCTGACCCACACCCAGGTTTTGGGGTCCTTCTGCCCATCCTTTGTTCGTTGGCCCTTGACCTCTGTCTTGCTTTAGTGGCCTAGACTGACATCCAAGCCCAGCACCCTGGATTGCAGAGAGCGTGCTATGGGCACTTGGTAAATATTTGCCGGGCAGATGAAACGCACGGTCACCACATTGGAGTCCCTGGCCAGGATGTGGGTGATTCGTCACGTGTCTGAGGCCAGGCTGCCTGTCTCCCCCTCCCACTGTGGGGTGTACAGTCTCTGCTGGTCTCTTAGCCAGCCTCATCCAGGAAGAGCAGGTGTTGGGACTTAGTCTCCGTCCGCAGTATTGACCTTGGCCCCTGCGAGTGGGCGCAGAGCAGGACGGCACCCCGACGGGTGGCTCCGCTGGCCCCGCGCCGGCGCGCTCCTGGCTCTGGACGCCGGAGGGATGCTCCTTTGGGAGC